CGGTGGGGTGGCCGATGTCCGATATTCAGTTTTAAGGCCGATACCGATAGAGGGCCAATTATATCGTGCATTCCTACTAAAAACTGAAAAATTTGTCCAATTCTATCATCTATGAAGTGGTGCCTTCAGGAGTGTGTTGAAGCAGTACAAAGATCTATGGCTATTATGAAGGGAAAAAGCACAAAGAACAAAGTTGGAATTTGAATTTCAAAGTATTGCAAAATTGGAGAATTGATCAAATTGATTAATTTGAGGGCATTTTAATTTTTTCCACTACATTTGAAAAAAAATGTGTTACAGTGGCTGTTAAATGTCTAACCCACATACAGAGATTCACAGGGGATAAGAATAAGTTAAAAGTTTATTTAACAGTGATAATAAATGTGCAAATTATGAGGCCTGGGGGAAATATGAGGCACAGATTTCTGAGGAAGAGAAAGCGACCGGTAGTAGAAGTCATGGTCAGTCAGGACCATGAAGAGAGCTGGCAGTTTGTTTTGGGCTAATGGTGTTTGGTGTGGAGTCCCAAGGGTGTGGTCAATGCAAGCTCCCAGTGATGAGTGTGATGAAGAGAGGAAAGGCAGCAAAAAGGGTGGAAGGATTAGGAGCCGTATGGTTGCCAGAAATGATGTCTTGGTTCGGGAGATTAATGTTTCAGCAGCTCCTGCTGGAATAAAAAAAAAAAAAAACAACATCCATATGGAACACAGGAAACAACACAGGAAGTTAATTCAATGAAGAAAAGGCTCAGGACTTTCAGATGGCTCAGGGTAACCACCTTGGTCAAACTCCTGGCAGAGTCAGCCAGCTCCTAATATCCTAATGAGCTTTGGGTGGCCCCTGAAGGCATCTGTGCTGCAGAGATTCCTGGTGGCAGAAAAACTCCATCACACCACCCCACACAACCTAGCAATCTGTTCTTTGACGCTTAACTTTCTCGAAACTGGCTCGTTACTTCTGTATTTATTGATTAAGTCATGACATAACAGCTGCAACAAAAAGTTTTGAATCTCTCTGTTATGAGTTTGTAGATAAACCCTGATCATGACAAGGATGAAGACAGGTGGCTGAAAAACATTGCAAATGATGGATCAGATTCTGAAAGACAAAACATTTCTCTTACATTTTTGCTGTTAGATTATACCATTAAACACATTGATTATGTTTCAAGTTCTATTTCAATTTTATTGTGATTTGCAGACCAGATCTTATGTTTACGCAGGTTTTCTATTCAGTTTGGTCTATATTATCCTGGATCTTAGCATAAAACTAGACAAATCTGTACAGTACTTTTTATTCTCTTTACCAACAGAGAGCAAAAAACGAAAATTGATACATTTTCTCTGCATAGAGCAATTTAAAAAAAAAAGTATTATTCCTGCAGGCTTCGGTTACTTCTGAAACAAACTTCCTGTCCTGACGATGCAGGAGACCGGATTGTGCAGGTCTCCAATGAAGGGTTATGACAGGGCAGGTCTGTGCCAAACTTTATTTAAAAAAATTTTTAAATGTACATGCAGAATGAGTAATTTTTATTTTTACTTACTCACTAGCACAAGGGTTAGCCTATTCTTAAGAACTTTTGTTCTTTTAACCACTTTGTTCATATGTCTTCCAGCATTCTACAGCCCTGGTCACACTGGTTATGTGCGAATTTTTTATCATTTTTTCCCCATATCACATTGACTTAAATGCATATAGAGATGCTCCTACTACGCAGGGTGAGCAGATCCAGATCTGTTCAGATTTTTTTTTAACCTCTGTCTCTTTTTCCCACAACAAAGTCTGATATTTGACTGGGAAAGATCATAAGACAGAAAAAAATGTCCCTAAAATATGGGTTAGCTACAAAGCAACGGCCCACTTCATGACCAGACTGCTGCACAGCATCTCAAACCAGAACAGACAGAGGACTTTAACAGGCTAAAATGAAAAATATAAAGGGAATTAGGTTAAAAGAGAAGGAAATTTAGGGCTTTGGGATGGTTAAAGGAAAATTCCGGTTTTTAACACTTTTAGCCCATTTTCTGTAGTGTCCAGGATGAAATCGAATGATCGACACCAAAATTTTGACGAT